GAATTTCAACACAGAGAAATGTAAGGTATTGCACTTAGGGGGAAAAAATGAAATGCATAGATATAAGATGGGGGACAATTGGCTTAATGAGACTACGTGTGAAAGGGATCTAGGAGACCACAAGTTGAACGTGAGTCAACAGTGTGATGCGGCAGCTAAAAAGTCCAATGCAATTTTAGGCTGCATCAGTAGAAGTATAGTGTCTAGATCAAGTGAAGTAATAGTGCCACTGTATTCTGCTTTGGTCAGGCCTCACCTGGAATACTGTGTCCAGTTCTGGGCACCACAATTCAACAAGGATGTTGAGAAACTGGAGCGTGTCCAGAGGGGGGCAACTAAAATGGTGAACGGTCTGGAAACCATGAGGAACCCCTATGAGGAATGACTTTGGGAACTGAGTATGTTTAGCCTGGAGAAGAGACGGTTAAGAGGGGATATGAGAGCCCTCTTTAAATATTTGAAGGGATGTCATATTGAGGAGGACACTAGTTTGTTTTCTGCTGCTCCAGAGAACAGAACTCAGAACAATGGATGCAAGCTACAGGAAAGAGATTCCACCTCAACATTAGGAGGAACATCCTGACAGTGAGAGCTGTTTGACAGTGGAACACACTCCCTCGGAGAGTAGTGGAGTCTCCTTCTTTGGAGGTCTTTAAACAGAGGCTGGATGGCGATCTGTCAGGGATGCTTTGATTCGGAGTTCCTGCATGGCAGGAGGTTGGACTAGATGCCCCTTGTGGTCTCTTCCAACTCTTATGATTCTATGAAATCTTGCTAAGAAAACTCATTGATAACTGCCTTCAGATTGCCATAAGTTGTAAATCACTTGAAGATACATAACAACAGTAGTGTTTGTGTGTGCTTTTTCATATCAGGAGTGTCAAGAGATGGCAGCCATTTCCCTTGAGGGTAAGGGCCCTTTGGGTTTCATACCATATGAGATACTGCAAATCTCATGTATTTAAGAGAGGTAAAATAGGTATGATGTCTAGCTTGATCGGATGTAACCAATTCCTACTGCATTGCACACCACTCAGTGTCATCCTAGGGTACATACCTTGTCCTATTAGGGGGACACCACCTAACCCCTCTTACTCAGCCTGAATTAAAAAAGAGAAAATGTCAAGACAGATACCAAGCCCGGTTGAATCTCCAGCAAACTCCATTTTTTCCAACAAAGTATGCTTCCTCCCCTTGAGAGATGGCAGGTGGCAAAGATCAGCTTGTTTACTTTCACATATTCTTGCATGACAGGACAGTTGGACTATATGACCCCTGTGGTCCCCTTCATTTCTCTCAGTTGAACCAGTGAGGTGCCAAACATGAAATGACAGTGACAAAAAGCAGCAGGTCCAAACAGGAATACCATCAGCCCTCCGTATCCACATTTTTTTTAATCCACCAATTCAAGCATCTATTGTTTGGAAATATTTTAAATATATATAAATTCCCAAAAGCAAGCCTTGGTTTTGCCGTTTTATATAAG